CAGCAGCAGCAGCAGCACAAGCAGCAGCAGCAGCAGCACAAGCAGCAGCAGCAGCAGCAGCAAACAAGCAGCAGCAGCAGCAGCCACCACCACCACCACAACAACAACAACAACAGCAATAGCAGCAGCCAGGTGTTTCTTCTCAGGTGTGACAATCATGTCACAGTCACCACTGCCCTGCGCCATTGGTGCCGAAGGAAGCAGCAAGGAGCTCTAGCTCACAGATGCTTCAAAACCCCAAAAGAAATACAAGCACAAGCAGCACAAGCAGCAGCAGCAGCAGCAGCAGACAAGCAGCACACAAGCATGCAAGCTGCACATGGCAAGCAGCACACAAGCATACAAACATACAAGCAGCAGGAGGATATGGTGGTCCTAGGCGAGGCCCGGGCGAGGTCCAGGCGAGGTCCAAGGCAGTACATCCCAGCCCAAGCACCATGCCAAGCCCAGAAGCACCCAAGCTCCAAAGTGCACATGGCCACATGCCTAAGATCCAAAGTGCACACAGCAGCACCCTGCAGCGGCACCAGCACCCAAGCTCTCAAGCGCACACAGCAGCGGCACTCTGCAACGCGCCAGCACCCAAGCTCCCCAGCACACCCTGCGGCGGCACCAGCGCCCAAGCTCGAGCACGCAAACACGCAGCTCTTCCTACACTGGAACAACAGCGGCACCCTTCAGCGGCACCAGCACCCACGCTCGAAAACGCACACACGCAGCTCCTTGAAGTAAGAACCCTAATAGCTCACGCTGTCTGTTGAAAAAACACGATGCAATGATGCAACAAGGTTGTTGAATCTATCACACAAGCAAGCAACGCATGGGCACAGCACATTAACATCAGTTCGTAGAACAAATAGAACAACAACAAACATCCATAGAAAAGCCAATCCCAATGGGCACACCATTTTGATACGACTTAAAGCGAGGCCCCAGTAGCATTGAAAGAAAGGTTAGCTAGATCATTTGCATGTCGCATGTTCTCAAAACAGCATGGAATCATGAAACCGATGCGACTTCCCGAAGACCTTTCGACGCAAGTAACGGCAACATTTAGCGCAAACCGATGCGACTAATCTATCTGAGAGTAGCACCAATGGGACAAAAGGCCTATATGGATCCACCCTCTGAAGTATATGGCGATTGGAGACAAAAGGCATATACAGATTAGCATGGAGGGTCCAGCGTTGCTGGCACCATTCGCGTGCGTTGCGGAGAGATGAGCGTCGTGCCCGGCGAGGGGCAGCCTGTAATCTAGCCAGCCTCCCTGTCGCTGCCTCGGCTTTCCAGGAGATACTGTAACATGGTCCATGCATCTCCATTGAAAGCTTTTTGCAGAGTTCCCGCAACCAATCTTGAGTGACACTCCAATCCTCAGCCTCATAGGCAATTGTTGCTTCAATTGGCATTAACTCAAGAATACACCCCTTCGTAACCCTGATTTGGTCAAGATCTACACCAGGTCAAATTATCCAGACTGTCGAATGTGGAGGTGCTTCTGTGCTATTGCTATTCCAATTGCCTTTTGCAAGCTGGTGAGCAGCGTCTATCATCGCCCAAGAATTCAGAACTCGCAATGCAACCAAGTCACCCTGGACTTGTGGGACAAACAGCCTTCTAATGGCTCGTGGTTGGATTGACATCAAAAAGGTTGTTCCTTCCCCATAGCCAAATGTATGTTGAGCAAACTTCGACTGGGGCCTCCCTTGGATGCACATCCAAGCAATTCAACACATCTGGCACTTGATCTCCTTTCAAGCCATTTGCAAAGAAGCAGTGAGTGCATCTCTTTGCTTTTGCTTTTTGGACGCTCTAAGCACCGAGCAAAACATCCAGGTCATCGTCGCCTTCCACTTTCACAAGCCCATCCTCCCTCTTGGCGACATCAAAATCGTAGATGATTAGCAACGCCACCGTTCTAAATTGCCAAGTGAAGCAATCCATTGATTGCTGTGTTGTCCACATTTCCGCTCTGGTGGAGAGCATATGCAATCATCTCGACATACCTTCCCAGTAGTTTCCTTTTCTCATGTGGTTTTCTATGGTGGATTGTGTTGTGCAACTTCATTCATCCTCACCGCCTCACCTGCTATCACACTAGCAGCAGGAGGTAGCAGCTGTAGCGGTTCCACTAGACATCGCCTTCCTCTGATGATTCCCTTTCTCCGCGCCGATCTGGCGATCAGTTCTGGAGCGCTTCTCCAAGACAGGAACATGAGTGTGTAAATAGGGAGACCCTCAAACCAACGGGTTTTGGTCTGGGATCTGTAGGACGTCTCCCTATATTGAAAACACATCCACATGTTTTTTCAGATCGGGCTCGGATTTAATTTAGGATTGTTTATTGTTTTTGTTTGTGTTTTTGTGCTTTTCGTTTTTCGCGGCAGGCGCAGTACTTTGTGGACCTTGAAGTGCAGATTTCGTGGCAGGTGCAGGACTTTGTGGATGTTGAAGTGAAGTTTTCGTGGCAGGTGCAGGACTTTGTGGATGTTGAAGTGCAGATTTCGTGGCAGGTGCAAGACTTTTTGGGCCTTGGAGTGCAGATTTCGTGGCAAGCACAGTACTTTGTGGACCTTGAAGTGCAGATTTCGTGGCAGGTGCTAGATAGCTAGATAGATAGACAGATAGAAAGATAGACAGATAAATGGATCGATGGATAGATAGATAGATAGATAGAGACAGATAGATATAGACAGATAGACATAGACAGATAGATGGACAGGTAGACGGATTAGGGAGCCGTCGTAGCTGGCAAAATACATTGGAATAGTGTAGGTTTCAAAGAGATTCCTACCTATCACAACAGTTTGGTGCAGTTAGCAAAGAAACAGCAAAGAGAAAGAGAACTAGCACAGGAGGCATTTTTGCTTGGAAACTTTTGCACCGGGGAGTTCACCTTAAAATATTGATTTCGTGGCAGGCGCGGGTGTCGGAGATGAAGTGCAGATTTCGTGGCGCGGGTGGGGTTGGGGGGGGGGGCGGCGCCCCCCCCAGCAGCACAACAGATACAAAGGTGAGCAGCTCGTGCTTGCTTGCTTGCTTGCTTGCTTGCTTGCTTGCTTGCTTCCTTGTTTGGTTTCTTCTCTGCAAAGCAAACGCATGGAAAGGCAAAAGCAAAAAAAATAAAGGAGAACAGCTGCCAAAGAGAAAGAAAGAAAGACAGAAAGAACGAAATAAAGTTAGAAAGATGGATAGACAGTGACAGACAGATAGAAAGATAGATAGATATAGACAGACAGATAGATATAGACAGATAGATGGATAGGTAGACAGATTTGGGAGCTGCCGTGGCTGGCAAACAGCCAGGCATATTTACACCATATCAGTGAATGAAGACACGAAAAGCCAACAGAAGCCAGCCGAAGCCACGAAAAGGCAAAAATGCCACCGAAAGCCAAAGTCATCAAAAGCCACCAAAAGCGAAAGTAGCTGTGCCTCGGACTTCACATTCCTCCAAAGATGGACTAGTAGCAAACAGCCAGAAGCCACGAAAGCAACGAAAGCCAAACGCCACAAAAGCCACAGAAGCCACGGAAGCCACGAAAGCCAAAAGCCACAGAAGCCACGGAAGCCACAAAAGCCACGGAAGCCACAAAAGCCAAAAGCCACCAGAAACCAAAAAAATACTAAAAAAGGTCAAACAATATCCTAAAATAAATGGCCCTCCTTGCAGATCGATGGTGTGGCCTTGTTCCGGTCGCGCTGTTGGAACATACGCTTTGCCATTGATTTTTATTATTTATGTTCTTAACACAACAGATGCGCATTGTGCATGTACGTGACTGTGCGTCTTTCAACGGCAATGAGATTCTTCTTTGATTTCATCTTCATGCTTTCTCTGCAGCATCCTGCCCACCTAGGGGTACACGGCTCATTTTGGAACCTAGAAACGGCTCATTTTGGAACCTGGCTCATTTTGGAACCCAGACGAAAAGAAAACTCTCCGGGACTGCATGCAGCGTGAGACCAATTTCGCGGCTCATTTGGAACACGCATCATTCGGTAGTGCTTCGAAGGTAGCATTTTGCTAGTGAAAATGAGCGTTTCGTACGAGACTTCCTCCAAAAGTGAGCCGCGGAAGTCTCCAGAACGAGCGTTTTGTGCGAGAC